ATGTTTCATGATAATAACATGAAGTGTCTCAATATGTTTGGTGAATTCTACCGTCAGTTTCTCATATCGTGTTGTAATCTCAGTCATTTTATTCATCACAGTTTCTAGTTCTGGCTCCTCTTTGTATTCTCTGTTGAACTTTCTGGGTAGCACAGTTGTTCGGAACTCTATGATCATGTCTTTGAATTCCTATATTAAGTAAACAAATATGAATTGAGTATTCTGTCAAACTTATGTACGTATTCAAGTTATGAAAAACGGAATGTCAGAAGACAAAAATATTCATCAGCAAAATCACAAAGATTAGAATTATGTACACACGGATAAAAATATAGGAAATTTATAGAATATGTCAGACATCAATTTTCTGGAACTAATAATTCTCACAAATTATTCAAATTTGTATTCAAGTTATGAACAAGCAGCCTCTTGGCTGAGATAGCTCCGCTGTTAGCGATGCACATTTCAATTAAAGAACAGAAGATATGATTAGAAAATGAACAATATGGATAGTATCAATGCAATGGGACTTGCTGTTTTCAACAAGAATTCAAAAATATCATTTTTCACCATAAATGATTGTGGTTCTTAACAAGAAGTCAAAAATATCACTTTTACCAAAAATGACAAAAATATTCACCAAAATTAGAGAATTAAAAATATCATTACAAAATGAACAAATCTGAGAGAGCTCCACACGTAGTACCTATACATGTATTATCAAAGGAATTGGACTTGCAGTTTTTAACAAGAATTTGAAAATATCACTTTTTATCAAAAATTACAAAAATATTCACCCAAATTAGAGAATAGAAGATATCATTACAAAATGAACAAATCTGAGAGAGGTCCACATGTAGTACCTATATATGTAATATCTAAGCAATTGGATTAGCGTTTTTTAACAAGAAGTTGAAAATATCACTTTTTACCAAAAATGACAAAAATATTCACCAAAATTAGAGAATTGAAGATATGATCATGAAATGAACAAATCTGAGAGAGGTCCACATGTAGTACCTATATATGCAATATCAAAGCAATTGGACTTGCGGTTTTTAACAAGAAGTCGAAAATATCACTTTTTACCAAAAATGACAAAAATATTCACCAAAATTAGAGAATTAAAGATATCATCATGAAATGAACAAATCTGAGAGAGGTCTATCCCAGGTACATATACACCAAGTATCAAAGCATTCAGGCTTGTAGTTTTCAAGAAGAAGTCGAAAAAGTAAAACATTGACACGGACGACAGACAATCACTCATATGATAAGCTCCACTCGACAAAGTCG